GGGGGCAATATGCTGACTCTGTAAACCGCTTAGAGAGGGCTGAAAGCCCTATGAAGCGGTATATAAGTCTAACTGCTATTGCTATTGTTAAAGTTGCTTGCATCAGGGGGGCACTTGTGGTGGCCCGGGGGGGGGGGTGCTGGGGGATCCATTGTCTCGGCGCCCCCTCACTGACTCCACAGCAGCCCTGCACATCTAAGGCTAACTGCGTTCCGGCCCAGATGGCTGCCACCAGTGGAAGATCAGTGTCTGGTCAACCTGCTCTGCGGCTAACGCCCCAGGTGCCTGTCCTTCACTGTTTCCAGGGCAGCCTCACAGGCCGGATCTGCCCCCCCCCCCCCCCAGGCCTTGAGTTTGACACCCCTGGACTAGAAAACCTCCAAGGTCCTTGGCAACCCTGTGATTCTGTGCCAACTTTTTGTGGCAATACAAAAGAGGATATATTGTACTTTTTAAAAAGCTAATGACACACACACAAGAGTGTCTGGGCGTATAGGTAGGTAGTCTTTGACTTACGACCATTGGGACCAGAATATCCATTGCTAATGAAGGTTGTTCTTAAGTCAGTCATGTCCAATACGTCTTGGTTGCCCTGTTAAGCAAATCACCGTGGTTGCTAAGCAAATCATGCAGTCGTTAAGCAAATGCGTCATGTCCCCATTGTTTGTTGGAAGCCAGCTGGGAAGGTCACAAGCAATGATCCTGGGACGTTGCAACCTTCGTAAGCAGATGCCAGTAGCCAAGCACTCAAATTTTGTTCACGTGGCTGGGGGGGACATACGGGCAGGGACTGGATCTCATTTACGTCACTTTTTTCACTGCCATTTTAACGTCAAATAATCTCTAAACCAGTGGCTGAAAGTCGAGGGCTGTGTTATTATTTGTCGGATCTTTTCTATTCAAGAAACCTTCACCTCTGGTCCCGTGTGTGTGTGCAATATATGGGGACCATAGCCCAGTGGGAACAGAGCACATGCTTTGAAAGCGGAAACCCCAGGTGCCTTCACTAGCATCCCCAGCGAAAAGGGTTTGTGGTAGCTCATTGTAGGCAACTCTCGTCTTTATCCAGGCCCCTGGAGAACATCTCAGTAGTTAAGGATACAGATCTTTTCACAATGGAGGGCAATGAAGAAAGTGCTGGACTTGCAACAAGAACAGGGGTCTCCAACCTTGGCAACTTTACGACTGGGGGACTTCAATGCCCAGAATTCTGGGCATTGAAGTCCCCCAGTCGTAAAGTTGCCAAGGTTGGAGA